GGTTCGAAAGCTCTGCAAGTAGATAAATGGGTACCTGCTCTAGGTAGCAGGGGGCACCCTCCCTCCCTATGAAGTGGGTGCAGCAGGAGCACCGGCAAAGTGGCGGTGAGCCGTGGCGGTGGTGGCGACGGTGAGCAGGCAGCAACGTGTGGCATCCGGTGACCAGCAAGCGTGGTAAACATCCAGGCGGCAAGCGGCAGCAGAATTCAGGCGGAGATTGGACGGGAAGGCACGGTGACGTGACGACGCAGCCCAGCAGAGCCAACAGGACGTGTGCCAGAGCTGCAGTCATCACACAAGCCGCGCACCACAAAGATCTCGCCTAAAGGAGTTGCTGCAATAAGGACTGCACTAAGAGACGCCGTCACCAGGAGAGGGGGGGGGAAGTGGAAGGAAGCTGAGAAGAAGCAAGAATAACAAGCCCTGCTGTCTGGGATGCCGGTAGGCAGTCACCCCCCTGAATACTGTGGCCCTAGATAGGATAATTGTACAATGTAAACCTCTCAGAGCCCTTAGGGGGTGAGCGGTCTACAAATTGAAAGTTAAATTAAATTAAAATTGAATTAAAAGAGCAGAGAGGTCCTGGGGGCGGCTCGGCTGCCGAGGGTAGACCGCGGTTTCCCTCCTCCGTTTTCAAAACCAAAAAGCAGCAGTGGGAGACCCTTTCTGGCTCTGCCATGAGTGTTGCAAAGAGGGGACCCAGTTCCGCCCCTGAGGGAAAGTGGCCCCACCCAGCAGCGGGAGGGGAGGGCAGCCAAGGTGGTTGCAGCCTGAGCCAAGGGGCAGTGGGAGGGGGTGCAGTCCCAGCAGTGGGGAGTTCCTCAGGGCCCCTCCCGCACCTATCTCCCGGCTCCTCATGGCTCCAGCTCTTGGACGTCTTCGGGAGGCACTGCAAGGCCAGCTTCTTGGCCTGGGCTCGCAAAAGAGTGTGGGCGGCAGGCAGTGGCAGTCCCAGCAGCACGGAGGGTGCGGAGGGGGGCAGGTCCAGTTTGGCACCCTAAGGGCCGGCCTGCGCTCTAGGCGAATGCTTAGTTCACCTAGCGGGTGAGCCGGCCCTGCCAGCATTGGGAGTCTGATACCCACATCCACTCCCCCCCAGGTACAGGACCTCCATCTTTGATGGATTTCATGTCAACCGGCTCTGCCGTAACCATCCAACCACAGCATTGAAGGCCTCGGCCAAGATGTCAGGGCCAGAAGGTGGATGGCTGTCCAGTAACAGATAGAGCTGGGCAGAGCTCATTTCCTGCCAGAGTGCACCGGAGCAATGCCCTGGCAGTAAGGAGCCCAGGTGGCTGGCACATGCAGCAAGCCCCGCCCCTGCTCCCAGCAGCCTCCCCTCCCCTTCGCCTCCTGTTCCTCCTCCTGCACCGCTCACTGCTGCAACAGAAACTGGCCCTGCTGCCACCACTATTTGCCACCACTTTGTTTTCCTCCTCCCGCTGGGCAGCAGCCACCTCCTCTTCCCCCATCACCCTGCTGGGCTCCCTGGCAGTGACCAGCACCAGCGCCTCTTCTGCCCCTCACCAGAAGATGCCCTGGGCACCCCACGCTGCCAGCGCCTTGCCCTAGGCAGCTGCTGCTGCTTCTCCACCTGCCAACCCTGCCACTCCCCTGGCTGTCCTGCTCCCGCTGAGGCCACGTGTGTCCTTCAAAGTGCCCTCCGCTTCTCCTCCTCCTGTTGCTTTTCATTCCATGTCCAGCACACCACCTGCCTGGACTGGAGGCACCTGGCTCTGTCATTTGCTCCCCTGTGCCGCCCTCCTCGCCTGAACACGGCATGGCCATGGGCCCCTTCCCCCCATCCTAGCCCGCTTCCAGCGTGCCACGCTCTTTTTGTTGCGCTCCCTGCCCGCCAAAAGGCTTCTGTGCCATATATTTTTAATTAGAAAATCCATTTATATCCACCCACCTTTCTCTGCTGCCTTGGTTGTCTCCTCGTGCCTCCCCTGTTGCGCAGTGCTTGTGTTTGTGTGAACCAGCACCTCAAACCTGTTTAGCACTCACAGCAGTTTTTCTCTCACCAGAGGCTTCCAATAGTAAACCACACTTACTGGTGATGGGGCTGAGCCAAATGTCCCTGAGGAGTTAGTTAGTAAGAGCTCCAGGCAGGTGGTGCGCTGGACACAGAAGGAAAAGAGTTGTAAGAGTTCCTGGGGCTTGGCTCTGAATATTTCTGACTGCCAGTGGCCCAGTGGGGTACTGGTCATGACCAGTCCTATCCTAACTAATAATTTGAAACAGAGAAACATGAAGGAGTGTAGGTGAAGCAGGAAATGATTTAAGGGCATAGCGGAAGCCAATGAAGGGAGTTTTTCAGAATCTACACACTGCTTAAGGTCAGAAGGAGTTGTATCTAATTTTATTGAGCAATCCTAAGGGGGAAAATACATGCAGCCTTTTAGGTAGTGTTTGAGGTATGATGTCACATTTTTACTAAGTAGCTTGGTTCACCCTTTTTGTTTATTTGTATCCTTTCAGGGAATTCAGTTGTGGGAAGTTTAGCAATATGAGGTATGTCATGTGAAGTAAACTGAGATAATAGATTGCCCAAAGCCACTCAGGAAGCTTCATAGATGAATGGTCTTGCTAAGAGATTACCTTGCCTGTTATAGGACTATGAAATACACCTATCACCAGGGAAGAATCCTTATGTTCTAATACAGTGCACTTCACATTGGGCAAATACTTAATTTTCCATCTTGACATTAGAACATCCATTGAATAAGCAACTCTGTCAGTGTAAATTGAATTCATAGTATTAAATGGCTAACTTGCAAACTAAAAGATTGGTGCGCAGTTATGTATATTTCACACCACATTCTTTAATTTCCATCCTAATGGTGAAAACACCAGCTGTTACCTTCAAGCCAAATAACATTGCTAAAGTACTTGCTCATTTAAAACAACAAAACCCAAGCAATCGAATTTAGCCCATAATTCATTCTAGATGAATAAGAGAGGATCAGAATATTTCACTAAACCATTTCTTTAGCTCTTGGATCAATTATAGCTGTGCCGGGGAGGCATATCAGCCCCAGTGCAGCAAGTATTAAATTAGTTCAGACAATACAATCCTTTGTGGAGACAATTGATTTTAATCCAGAAACTAAGCTTTCATGCAAAAAAAAAAAATCACTTTTCTGTTTCTGTGCTTAATGCTGCCTGCTGCCCAAGGTTTTGGAGCTGCTCTGAAACAATAATAGAATTGCTTATTCAGAAGGCAAAAGATTCCAAAATAAATAAAAATAGAACAAGAAACAGATGGAATTTTAGCAAATACTGAACAAAGAATGAACACATTGAAAAGCAAGTTTCGTTCATGAAATTGTTTTCTGATTGTTTTATCTTTAAGATATTTTATAGCAGCTACTTTTAAGAATACAGAGAAAGTAGACTCTAGTGGACTGTATACTAGAGTGGAATGGAAAAACCAGAGTCCAAAGCACTGCTCAGGTGTGATCTCTTTGAACTACTTTGGGAAAGGTTGAAGAAAGCATTTCTCATGCATAGGACACAGTACTTTTGGAATGGCAGGTCAGGCCTCCACCTTTGCTCCACAGAAAACTTTGGCTTGATTGGTGAATGAGAGTGAGTAGGAAAGTGCAGATTAATGAGGTTGGGTACATACTGGAATTGTTCATTCTTTTGCAAACCTCCTTGTCAAATTTGATGTTTTAACTAATAAAATATAGTTTCCTAATATGGAATCCGATACTAGTCCATATAGTCCATAAATGTCTACCCTGATTAGCTGAAATACTCCAGTGTAAAAGTTCTTCTCCAGCCCCACTCTGATATCTTTCAACCACAGATGTAGAGTTTGAACCCTGGAATGTTTTAACATTTCAGTATGGATTTACAAAGACTGTCAAATCTGTATTTAGTTGGCTTTTATTCCAAAAAGTTATTTCCATAAAAGCTAACAATACTTCCCTAACTACATGAGGTAGTACATGTAGCGAAACAAAGGAAAAATATTTTGATGCACGTACGAATACCAATAATATTTTTAAAGAAACTATAAAGTCAATGACAAATCCAAAGATATAGTATTGATCAGCTTTACAGCGTTTCATAGAAAGATTGATAATGTCACCATTATGGTTTTCTAATATACCACAATATGGAAAAAGTAACACACAGGGCTATTCAGCATAAATGAAATCAAATGAAATGGTGAAATAGTATATAAAATAGCAATCTTTGGATTTGTGTCCTGCTCTGCAGGAATATGATAGATGCAGAAAATAAATGGACTTTGGCATGTATGATCCATTGTTTTACAGTGGGGTTTCTCCATTCATCAACACTATACACCAACATATGTGGCTTGTGGGATCAATCCTACAGCCAAGCACATGCTTGTTAATATTTCAAAGGTCATATCTTGGCCCATAACAGAGATAAATTTATGGATAATGCTAGTGGCATACATAGCACTATAATAATCATGATTGGGTTGGATCTAAATAAGTGCAAGCTCTGGTTATAGAGTGGGTCTTTGATAACTGCCCCATTCAGTCTACAGTCCCTGAACCTTGAAAAGTCACTCCTGAGAATCGGAGGCCCTTCAGAAACAGCACTGGAAACTGTCTCCCCTCTTGCACAATTTCTACTTGTTCAACACAGGCTTGGATGCAATCCAATGGTAACAATAATGTAGTGAGTTTTTTATTGTTTGTTTTTGATACTGGAGCATTTTATAAGGTTTGAATGAACTGCATAGGAATAAATGCTAAGAAAATATAGCAATATTTAACACAGGATCAAAACAAGTTACTTATCCTCATAGTTCATCATGCATCCCATGTTTAATTTACAGATTTTCCCCATTAAGATTTACATGCAGTTAAGCTCCTTTTCAGACATAAAAGGTTAAATGTCTTCTGTACAGTAATATTACACCTTTATACAAATTTTAGGAAGTATATTAAATGACATTTTCACTTCTTCCAAGCATGCCATTTTCTTCTTTTCTTTTTTGTTTACTTGGTATTTCAAACTACCGCAAACACTCTGAATGCCTTGCCTCCTGGAGGATTCTGTAAACTGCAGAAAGATAACAAAAGAAGTTATTCCACAAAATTTAGCTTGTAAAATCTTAATCTCACCAAGCACTTCTGTTATTTATATATATAAAATAAAAGGGCCACTTTAACACCTTCCTAAATTTCTATATTGAATTCTACATAGAAAATTTTTAGCTTAATTTGTTTGGTATGTGTGTGTCTGCACATGGAAGTCACGTTGACCCCTGGTGACTCACCCCTACTGGGGGCCTGGAGAATATTCAGAGAGGTGGCTGAATAAAGCCTGCCTCTGTCCTCCCAACTTGGTATTCCAAGGAAGTCTCCCATCCAAGTACTATCCACAGTTGACCCTGATTAACTTCTGAGATCTGACGAGATCTGACAAGTATTATGGATTCAGTGATATATCACTGAATTGATGTGCATGTGTGAAAACAGGAGACCTGCAAAAATTTTGCGGGGTCATCTCATTTCCCTCACTATTTCCTGTTCCTCTTCCCTGAAAGTGCCCATAGCCTCTCCTCCTTTCCTGCTTCCTCATCTCCTCCCCAATCACTAGCCAACTTACCTTTATTTGCCCACATCTCCAGCTTTCCCTGTTTTCCTCCTGCTAGCAGCCTCTACCAGGGATAATTATGGCCCAGTTGTGCAGTGCTAGCTATGAGGCCACCATGGGCTCACTTGTGAGGTAGGGAACCTACAAAGACTTCTAGAAAGCTTCTCACTTTCCCCTGTACACCCTCACCACACTATTTCCTCTTCCCCTGCTCCTGGCAACCCCCTTATCCTCACCTTTCTCTGCTTCCTTCTCTCTTTCCCACCCATCCACCAACCTACCTTTTATCTGCCCCCCCCCTATTCAGCTATTTTTATTATTTATTTACTTCATTTTCCAGCCCACCTTTTTTCTCAATGGGGACTCAAAACAGCTTACTTCACTCTCCTGTTCTCCATTTTATCCTTACAACCTTGTGAGGTAGGTTGTGCTGAGAGTGTGACTTGTCTAAGGTCACCCAGTATATTTCCATGGTAGAGTGCAGATTCAAATTTGGGTCTTCTAGATCCTAGTCCAACACTCTAACCATTATACCACACTGAAACTCATATGCATCTCATACATTCAACTCACAGTCCAGTGTTATTTAGTTACTTCAGTATAAACACATTGACTTCACAATCCCTACAAAAATGTAATATGACTGAAAAAACATGGTAAGTATATGCATATTGATAGCAAACAGTGTTCATAAAAGTTCTGCTTAGTACCTTTCTGAAAAGATTCCATTTTGAAATGAAGCAATGTACATCCGTCTTTTATCCACTGGCATAACATCAATAAACCCCCCTTCATTGCGCATTACTCCAGCATGTATAGCTGTCCGACAGATACTAGATACCTGGAAGGAAAAAAGACAGAAGGATTTTTTAAAACTTCGGTCATTTGAATTAACTGGAGATTGAAAATTCCCCAGTACAAATCCAGAGAAATTAAAAATAATGTAAGAATAATTTATTCTAATAGAATTAAACTAACTTAATTTGAGGTTCAAATTTGAAGTCAGCTGTAATATATATACACTATATATATATATATCTCCCTTATATATAATTGAGTAAGACGCAGCATCAGACGCAGCGGAGAGAAAATGTGCACCAACAGTGTTTGGAGGCTTGAACTCTCTGTCAGAAGCTTCCCCAGCTTCCATTGGCTGTGTTGCCTAAGTCCCACCTCAGAACACAAAGGCTGTAGCCCTGCCTCTGCACCCGGTCCCCTCAGACATCAGACTACTGCTGACAACCACCTGGTGGGTAAGTGGAACTGGGGAGCACTTGAAGAGCGGCGCCACCGCCATCCCTGACTAGCCAGGCCTTGGCGAAGGATCACTTGAAGGCCACCGGCAGCGGCGATAAGCTGCTCACCGCCACCCGAACCCCCCCCCCAAACTAGCCAGGCCTGGAGGATATCAGTGGAAGGCCGGCGGTGGCAGCTCATCACCGCTTGCTGCAGCCTGATTCCCCCCCCCTTGAAGGCCGCCAGCAGCGGCGATGAGCCGCTCGCAGTGCCCCAATTTCCCTCTGCCCCTTGAAGGCTGGCGGCAGCGATTAGCTGCTCGCCGCGGCCCAATTTCCCTCCCCCACCCACCCACCCACACAGTTGCAGGCTGGCGGGGGCGGCAACCCAATTATCGCA